CAGAGAAAAATTCAGTATTCTGTTTACCACACAAGTTAGAGGGGAGAGAATGGTTACTAGATTGAGAGAACTAAACATCCTGATAATGCCAACTCCCTCCAACGTTCCCTCTCTCTCATGGCTCCTCACCTCCACCTGCCACTCCCCTGTGCGTTCCCTGTTTCAGGCCTCTAGGCCTTCTGTCTGTACAGTGTATGCTTGTCTGCTTCTCTTCCAGTTTTCTTTACCCCTAATTATCCTCAACTCTGCAGAGGACCTCAGAACACCTCTGTTCAAATATTCAACTGCTCATGAGCATCCAGACACGCAGTTTAACTCCTGTGCATGGATCTACAACCTCATTATCTGTCTCCCCACTATGAACTTTATGTTCCAGCAAGAGGATGCTACTCCCTATTCTGAGGTAAATCAGGCTTCACAGGACCCTGAACCTGAACAAAACAAATGAACTCTCAAGAACAGAGGCTCTGTATATCTATTTGATTTCCAGGACAAAGATTGGCACTTGATAGATGCACTCAAAAAAGACTAGTTTCAGGAAGCCAACATTGTCCCCGCTGGTTTGTATGTAGGAGGGGACTCCCATCACTCCTGGAGTCTGGGTTTGTAAATGTCTTGTAGGGGGAGAGACTTCTGTGAACCCTGTCAATTTCACCAATAGGAGCCATTCCCACATCCTTATCAAAAGCATAGATCAAAATAGGGTCCAGCCTATTTGTAGACAGATACTGGAAAGTTACCATCAGAAGCCTCTCTGGGTGTGCAGGTCTGGAAGGAATCACAGAGGAGGGTGTTCTGAGGGACATGGTCACACTGGGACAGGTACCGGAGGAACAACCCGAAGGACAAGTAATTATGCCTAGAGATGCCCAAGGAGGTGGTTAGCAAGGGACACGTGTGAAGGACAGCCCTCTGGAGGGGAATAGTAGTAAATGATAAAAGGAACTTTTGGGATTCATGGACCTAAGTGAGCCATTAAAAGGAGAATTTGATTCTGGGGGACTGTGGTGAATTCCAGCTGTTATCAGAGTGGTAGGTAGAACTGTTCCTCAGTAACTTGCAAGAAATGTTTGAAAAATACCACCCGGGGAGCAGATTCTCTGTTTCAAAAGCTTTTCAGCACAGTGCTTTTCTAATGCTTCACCCACATGGTTTTTAAGTCAGGTTGCAAGGTCAAGTCCAGATGGCAGCCTGGAACCTCTCACTGCTGAGTTCGGAACTGTGAAGTCTGAGCCCTTCAAACTATCAAGTGCATTTTGCTGGCTGAAATCATTGCTGACAATTGTTCCTTGTTATCTGTGGAAAAGTTCTCTTGACTATTCATGGTAATATGCAGAACATGAAAGAAGATCCACTGCCACGTGAGAGAGTAAGAGCTTATATCATTCTATTCAGTGACAAATTATTAAAGGAAAAGAACATTAACACTTTCAGAATAAATGGCATGGCTCTCAAGTGGTAGAACACCTGCCTAACAAATGTGAGGCCCTAGGTTCAAATCCCAGTACTTCCCCAAACCAGAGCAAAACAAACAACAGAAAACACCAGTAAGGTTAATACTTTCATAAGAGAAGAGAGAAAATAGAGCAAAGAAAAAGGAGAGAGAAAAGAAAAATGCTTTCTTCAAGTTGCCTAAACAAACTACTGTGTGTGACAAAGTTAAGTTCACTACCAACTTTAGCACCACAAAGAAGTCTAAGAAAACAGGAGGGAAACATACAGCTAGGCACCTGTGGTTAGGTGTACGCTCACATTTTCAAACACTATACCCCAGTGGAGGAGTCCAGAACAATCTATTCCCAACAAGGCAATTTCCAGGAAAATCCTACTGTGCACATTAGAAGCGAGAGGATGTACACAGAAGTAAAAATGACATGTTTCAATGCTGCTTTCACTCGTAACACACAGCAGAGAGCTTTTCTGCAGTCTCCACTATCAGTTGAAAAACCATGCTGTGATTATAAGGACACACAGGTGACAGTAACTAAACAGGAAGCTATAAACACTTTGGTGCCCATCTTCTTAGCAAAAGAGACTACTAGGAGATAGGAGGGGCTACTAGGCCCTCTCACCTTCCTTCTTGTCTATGTGCTCTGCATGGAAGTCAGGTTACAGAGAAAGATGCTACTCCAAAGGGAGGTTTCCTATCAGGGGCGCTATCCTTGCTCCTCAATAACGCTTCACATAATACAATCCAAAATTCATGCAAAACTCAAGCTGAGGTAACAAGGAACCTGTCTGTCCAATGCATAGCAAGCCTTCAAGTGGGCATGATAAATACATCCAAACAAAAAGATATACTAAAAATGGGAGCCGTTTCTCCGATGCCTAAGTACTCATCTCCAAGGGCTATATGAAACACACTCTAAGTATTTTTGCAGTATATCATACTTCATGCAAATGTTTCCAAAGAAACGCATGCTTGAACAAAGTCTGAAGCCCACGGGAGAGCTGCCAGTCTACAAAAGAGAAGATTTGCTCAGCACAGCCCTAGAGGGCAAAATGAGAGCCAAGGAGAGGAAGTGGAAGAAATGCAAAAATTTTATTCTATTTAAGGAAGTGCTTTCTAACAATCTGTGTTCTCCAAAAATGGAATTGGCCCACTCTAGATGCAAACGTGTTCCTGCAGAGCTGGATGGCCATCTGTCAGGGACACAGTAGCAGCCCAGAGTGGAATATGTGGGTGCATTTAAGAGAAGGGACTATGTGAACTTGCCACACTGATGTCAACTCAGGGAAAAAGCCAATAAACCCACTGGCCAGAAGACCTGGTTCATACTTTCACTTTGAGGCTTTGTCTTTTCTCATTCTAAGGAAACGAAGAAGTGAAAGGAGAAGTCATTCCAAGGAATTTCTACATAATCTAGAGGGTCATTTTGCCTTCTTCTACTTCCTACCAGTTTGGGAGCATTTCATACTTTAATTGAATCCTGAAGACAATAGTTTGTTATAGTTTTGGTGGTTTTTTAAAAGGCAGACAAACAAGCCAATAATGTTTAATATGCTCAAAAGGAAGGTAGTTTGGGGTAAGAGGTTGAAATTGGAAAGGATAAATATGACTACTTTCAGGAAATTCTAATGTTTATCCATTCATGCTTTCCTCATTTTCTTACCAGTGGAAAGGACAGGAAAAGAATATTCCTTTCTCATGACATGTGTATGTAAGGGAGTGGGGAGGGAGACTAAGGAGAGAAGCTTCAGTGGAAAGAGAATCAGAATGCCAATGGGACATGGAATTTCTAAATCAGCCTCAGAATCCAAGATACACACTGACCTGGTGTAATCTACCCAAAGTATCTGCCAAAAACTATCTCTCTTCTTTTTCCCAATCATGGGGAAGAAACCGCAATCATAACACAAAAATACCACCCAACAAATGAAGGCTTTCAATGATTTTGAACAGATAGTTTAGACTTCCCAGGATTGTAGAAAATGAAAGATGTACATTTTCCAACACCCACCACATTTGGCATAGAATTTTCTTTTCAAGTTTTCCCCATGTATTCCTCTCCCTCCCCCATAAATGAGACAAAATCTCTCTCAAGTCCTAAAAAGCAAAACCTATGCAAATAAAGTACAGGTGATAACATTGGCTTACTTTAACACAATCTGGAAGTAATAACCCAGTAGTACCTGCTATATACAATTTTATACTCACATAAGCAGGTAATAATTGCTAAAATGTCAGCTCAGATCATTCACTTATTTAAAGGGGTCATCTCACTTATGTTCTCAGACAATTTGAAGTGAGCCCAATGCACACCGCCCAAAGGAAAGCGGGGCACCATTCACATCACATGACATGGCAGTCTACATGTCTGTGTTTGAGCACATCCTCCTATGGTCCCTTGTGTTGGAATTTAACTTTCAGTTTAGAGGTGTTAGCAAGGTGGAAACTTAATCCTAGTAGGGTGTTTAGAGGTTAGGATTTCAAGGTGGTCACGAGGGTTAAATAAAAGCATCAGAAAAAAAACCCCAGCAGAATTGAATGCTGGTAGTTTTAAAGGAGAGAGATACTGAAGCAGGCGTGGTGGTGCGTGCATTTAATCCTAGTGTTAGGATGGTAGAAGCAGGAGGAATCAAAGTTTGAGATCCGCCTGTGTTACATGAGATTCTTTTCTCAAAAACAAAACATAACAGAGATAGAGATAAACAGAGAGAGAGAGAGAGAGAGAGAGAGAGACCTCATGAGCACAAAAGACATGCATACAGTGACACTGAGGAAGAAAACTAAAGGAGAAAACAAGACATCATGATGACTGAACACAGGTAATGGGAGATAATCTAAAGCCAGGCCCTAATGACAACTAATGCCACTGATTCCAGCTGCCAGCTGATGAACAGTGCCTGGAACTGTGGCATGAAATATTGTTAACTCAGGGGAAAATGTTCTGTGCATGAAAGCCAAATCGATGAGATTATATGGAAGAGTAAAAGAGTTGATGGGAGGACACAGAGGGACACTTTCAGGTAGCACTTCTATCTCAGGGTCCTCTGGAATTTTGACACAGGAGACTGACACTTGTGCAGGAATACAAAGCATATATATGAGCCCAAATTCTACAATCTCCAGAAAATGAGAAACAACGTATTTCTATTTCTTGATCTCTTAATTCTCATGGACTGTAGAAAAGACAACTAGGAGGAAGTCAACATTTAAATAGATCTTAAAACAACAAAACAAAGAAACCTAGCATTGGTGGTGCACACCTGTAATTCCAGCTGCTCAGGAGGCTGAGATCTGAGGATCTCCGTCCAAAGCCAAGCAGAGCAGAAAAGTCTCCAATTAGCCAGTGGAGGTGTAACTCAAGAAGAAGAGCACCAGCCTTGAACAAAAAAGCTTATGAAGAGCTCCCTGGCCCTGAATTCAATCCCCAGTATAGACACAAAACAAAAACAAAATCCAAGAACTGGAAAAAGGATCCATCCTGCCTGGAGACCAAGGCTTCCCTCTCCAGGTCAGGCAGAGGGCTGGCTGTAGACCCTGGGTGGGCACTTACCTAGTGTGTCCTTGAGGTTTTTCACCAGGGATCCCTTCTTCAGGCTGTTCTTGCGCTCCACATAGTTGGATGGCACATAGCCCGTCCTGTTGGCTGCATTCCTCACCCGCCACCACGTCTTGGAGTCATCCAGCAGCCATAGGCGCTCATTCTTCTTGATGTCAAGCTCCTGGTCCTGCTGGGCTGTGTAGTCCCACTTGGCTATGACAATAACTTCTTCTGTCATCTTTCATGGAGTCCTTCTGCCAGCAAAACATTTGGAGACACTCGTTAGAGAATCACCTAACCACTGTATCCTTTGACCAACTCGAACAATTAGACAATGGCAGAGCTCTTCTTACAACTCTGCAGAATCTTGAAAGTTCACGCTTGAAATGACCTTCTTTAAACCAGCATTTGTGTTTTCCTTAGAAATAGCAACTTTATAAAAGAAATCTTGTGTTACTATTCCTGGTGTATTAGGAATCCCATGTATTCTACCAAAATCAAACAAACTTGCAACACACTCTAAAAAACAATGATATGTGAATGTGCTCATTTGATTTAGTAACAATGGCTCCTTTGCAGCCAACAGGGTCACACTCATTTTCTCAGTCTATGCTGAAGTTTAAGAATATGTTTGGGCTGGGAAGGCGATGCAGTGGTAGAGTGTTTGCCTTGCAGGAGGCCCTGGGTTTGATTCCTCAGCACCACATAAGCAGAAAAAGCCAGAAGTGGCACTGTGGCTTACGTGGTAGAGCTAAAGAGCTGAGGGATAGCGCCCAAGCCCAGAGTTCAGGCCCCATGACAAAAAAAAAAAATACATTTTAAAAATACAACACATACAAACAACTCCCACACATTCATTATTAGAATTAATGTGGAACTAACACAATGACATCTACTGGGTTTGGATCATGAAACAGAGAAAAGAAATTGTTGGAAACACTGGTGAAATAGGAATTAAGAATGCTAGAAGGGGTGTCATTGATCAAGATATATTGTATTCATAAACTTCTTTGTTAAGTGGCATCTCCTTTGTACAACTACTTAAATAATAAGAAAATTAAAAAGAGTACCAAATCAATGACAAAGCCTTAGTTTTTTTTTAAAAAATCTATTTTTAAAATTGTCTTTAAGTAATTGTACAGGGGTTTTAACTCAACAAATCAGTTTATGAGTACAATGAATCTTGATCAGTGTCACCACTTTCATCATTGTCTCCTATACCTCCCAACCCCATCCATCCCCTCAAGTTCCCCGGGTTTATTTTCATATATGTACCTTTTAATCCCTGCATTCATCCACACTCATTTACCTTCCTCCTGGTATTTATTTTAAGATGCTCATTAGTTGTTCAGAGAAGTTACACCACTAAAATCCTTCCCCAAGTATATCATGCTATACTCAATTTGTTCATGTTTATATGCATATGGCCCTGTATATATTTTCATGTATGTTTATAATTTTGATCTACTAGCTTAGCTTATTAAAACAACTAATAAGTAATCATGGTATATAACATAACACGTGGCCCAAGTCAACTTGGGAATTAGAAAGCAATAAATATGTCAAAAAAGTTACTATATTTCAGCAACTCCATACTTCCTAGGTATAACATGGGTAAGCACTCTTTTAGCAAAAACAAAACAACCCACAACATTTAGCAAGGTGCTGATAGTGGCTCACACTTGTAATTGCTGTTATTTGGGAGACAGAATTCAAGAGGATCACAATTCCAGTCCAATCCAGAATGGGCAGAAAAGTTAGTAAGATCTCAGACAGAGAGGTAGGTGTGGTGGCACTGTCATCACAGCTACAGTGGGAAGTATAAACAGGAGGATCAACGTACAGACTACCAGAAACAAGAGAAGTGAGACTCTACCTTAAAAATGATCAGAATTTGGCACTGGTAGCTCTCACCTGTAATCCTAGCTACTCTGGAGGCTGAGAGCTGAGAATCACCGTTCAAAGTCAACCTGGGCAGAAAGTCTATATGTCTCTTAACTGCAGTTAACCAGCAAAAAAATCTGGAAGTAGAGGCATGGCTCAAGTGGTAGAGCATTAGCCATGAGCAAAAGAGCTAAGAGACAGAGTGCCCAGGTCCTGAGTTGAAGCCTCAGTGCTGGTGTGCACATGTGCATGTGTGTGCATGTACACACACACACACACACACACACACACACACAAACACCCCAGAACAAAAAGTGCTAGAGTCATAACTCATACAGTAGGGATGATGAGAAGCCACCCTTTCCTTTGGAGTTTTGGTCACCTTATAGGGAAGAAACCAAAATACCAGTGATTTCACAAAAGCATGAATACTAGACAGTAAAACACTTATAAACAATAAATATTCTTCTCATTGATTCCACTTTTATAGATTAAATCTTTTAGGAAAGACAAACTTCTTGTACCCTTGTATATAATGTACACAATGTCCAAGTGGGTAGAATTTACACAACACTCATTTCAAAAGTAGAGACAATCTCTTACCGACATTCAGACTTAGATTATACTATGAAGCTCACACATCTTACCATCCTACCGGATTGGACTTTTCAAAGGAGATTTTCCTTTTAAGTAATGGACAAAGATAATAGCAGTAACCAAAATGGGGCTCAGAGAGAGAATTGCATTTAAATACCAGGCTTATTTCTTAATTACACAATTTCTAAATTTTAATAAAAACCATTCATCACTTAGGCCAATGATGATCTAGCCAACCAAAGCTTATCTAACGATTTTCTTCTGCCTGAAGAGCAGTTAAGGAAGGCTCTGGCTATGCAGATGCATTTCAGTGCATAGTGGACATCATGAAAATACCATTGTCTGAGTTCTGCCCCTAAGCAATCATACTAAAATCTCTATGAATGAGGTCCAGGGACCAACTTCCTACTCTTTCCAAGTGATGCTAAGGCCTGTGCCTTAGGCTACAAAAACCAAGAAAAGAACTCAGTTCACTGCCTCTTCATGATGCTTCTCTGAATCTGTGAGAATGTGGGAATGAAGGCACAATAGAGGAATGAGAAAGTAAACTTAGATCTTATGATGAGCACATGATTCTCATCAACTGGTTTAAATCTGAGAGCACTCACTTTTGGGGAAGTGTTATCTTTCAGGAGACTAAGGATCACAGTGATTAAGTAAATTGTGTAATAACAGCATGAGGATCCATTTGAGCCCAGGTTTGTGGCTACCAAATCAGTGCTAAGGAACTACTTCTGGATATTAGGGTGACTGGGGTATAATAATGTGGTCTATATGTTGATAGGCTAACTTCAATCCAAGATATTTAGCTCCTGTACACCTAGAAAATGTCTGGCTGTTTCTTGACCATCACAATGGGTTTTAATCCTAGTCTAATTAATTAATGGCCTCCACTCTTCAATAAAAATGGTTTCAACTGGGTATAGTGGTTCACACACCTGTAATCTTGGTGTTAGGGAGGCTGAGACAAGAAAATACTAAGTTGTAGGCTGCACAGTGGGATCATCTTAAAAAAAAATAGGAGAAAAAGAAAAAAAGAAGGCCCATCAACTACAGAGAAATCTACTAATCACCAACTACCTGGTTCCCAGTGAGGTTGCTTTAGAGGGAGAGCCTATCAAAAACTACCTCACTCCAGTGAGACTGCTTCAGATGGCCAATTACAACTATCATTCCAGTAAGAGTGTTTCAGAGGACCAACCAATCAACAACTGCCTTACTCAACAGCTTCTCCCAACTAATCAGCTTCTGCAGACCAGGTGTTTACATTTAAGAACAACCAATCCCTAAACACTTTCTTGAAACTGTGTTTTTCCAAAACTTTTTATGTATCCCAGCTTTCTGAATAGAAATTAGTATTCCGCCTTTTCTGCAGTGAACTATGGATCCATTCAGTTTATTATTTTGATGCCAAGCAGTAGCTAAGCATAGATAAGACAAAATAAATCAGCCTGTATTTCTGTAATGTCAGAGCTTTCTACTCTTTGCCAAAAAGGTTGCAAAGGCCAGATAAAGTCCATTCTCTTGCCCAGACGTGGTTCCTCCCAGCCTTCCTTTAGGTAACTGATGTTTAGGAGCTTAACAATAACACATGGTTATTGCCAGAATGATCTGCTATAATGCAAAGCAGAATGGACTAGAACAGAAAGGGACTGGAGGTGAATCACTGTTCCACAATAATGTGAGCTATGCACACTGACTTAAATGTAAAAAATCAGAAAGCCTGTTTGCAAACAGAAAATAGATCTGAAATGGTACATATTCTAACTATTGAGATTAAATCAGTGATGGTATACTGATTTAGGCTAAGGAATAGAAGTATAGAGATCAATATCAAAGCATAAGTCACATTTCTCTCTCCAGCTAAGGTAATTAAAGGAACTTTCACTTTTGCCTTTGTTGAGTATAGCTGATAAAGGTCACCATGTTGATCTATCCTCCAGGGAGAAAACTGAACAACTCTAATATTCGAAAACTTGATTACATCTTGCATGTCACATGACTTCTCTAAAACAGAGTTTGGCAAATCCCCAAAGTTATGATGAAAAACAGCAGCTCTCAAAGATTTTCACAAGTGAGGCTAATTTTGCAAGTCTTCAAGGGGAGAAGATTCAGAAACTGAATAAAAGAGCTATAAAATGTTTACTGGCTTAATAGTTCTAAATAAAATAAACTTCTAAAGTAACACTGATACTATATTCTTAGACTCTACATCATAAAAAACAATTCCATTACTCATATCATGCATAAATGTCAGTGTTCCCACAACACTCCAAACAGGCATAGGGAACCAACTAGGTGAGGCAAGGGTCTGGGGCATTGAGTATCTTCTTAGAAACGCCCTTCTTTGAACTCCTTACCAATGTCAGTACAACTGTCCTGGTCTCAATTTACTTCCTTCAGAGCCTTTGCTTACTACAGTGCTATCTGAGATGACCTGTCCATGTGTTGTCTGAGGCCCCATTATATGTTATATGTTGACAGTGGTTATTTTGGCTCATCATCTGGCTTAATGGAAGCTCAAATACAAGGCAGATCGATGATTAAAAGTTAACATTTTTTAAAAGTTAACATTTATCTACCTCATTTATACATCTATTGACTTAAAACCCTGGCCTGCTACATAGAAGACCACAGTCACAGAGCCTAAAGCTCTGTTTACCTCAGTTTGCAGAAGAAACATTAGGCCAATGAGAAAACATAGGGATTTCCAAAACTCAATTCAAAATACATGTAAAGACTGATTGGCAAAATAAGCTCTTTTAATATTCAA